AACAAATTTGTAGAGTTTTTTGGAGTGGTTTTCCAGCTTCTTTCTTGCTTTTTTTTTTCCTCCACATGTACTTTACATGCTGAGATTTCCCTTCATTTCCTGTTCCATAGCTAAACAGGAAGTGAGAGGAAATCCCTGCAAATTATAGGAATTTCTTGGAGACCCCCAGTTCACCAGAGCTATTGTCCCCATTGGAAGATTTCCCCTCTTACTTTTCAGTGGACAACCCAAAATTTGGGATTTTCTTTTACTTTCACTTTCAATGATAATGGTAAGCAGGACAAATAGGTCGAAACATCCAAATGGGGGTACAGACCGCAATAAAAACTGAAAGCATCCTAATCCTTCTGCACTCTTTCCATAACTAAAAAAAAGTTTATCCTTTAGGTATAATTTAAGTTTTTTTCAGAGCTTTACAGACATGGTTTTTAGTAGATTTGTATGCTGTTAAAGTGGTTATAAAGCCTAACCATGCTTTACCTTAATGCATTTTTTGCATTGAGGTAAAAAAATATTTAGGCATCAGTATCCCGCCTCACCCCCCATTCTATTTACCTGAGCCCTCATTTGATCTATCGCTGTGCACGCCTGTAGCTCTTCTCTCCCTTTAGTTCCGGGTCTCACAGGCTATGCTGGGGCGCCGGGAGCCCTTGGCTCCCACTGCTGTCTATCAAAACCAGTGATGGGGAGGTAGGGCCGAGTTCTGCTGTCTGTGTCAATGGATACAGACAGCAGGGCTTGGGAGTAAGCACACACAAGTGCCCCCATAGGAAGGAGCTTCCCATGGGGGCACTGGACAGAGCGTAGGAGCCAGGAGTGCCAGTGGGGGACCCGCGAAGAGGTTTGGGGCCGCTCTGTGCAGGCAAGTATGATTCTGTTTGTTTTAAAAGTAAACATTTACAACCACTTTAAAATAGAACTAAAGGGAATTTTTTTCATAAAGGATAGGGTAAGGGAAGATTGAAACCGTTGTCAATGTCCCATTGGGGAGATTTCCCTTCACTTCTTCTCCCATAGTGACCAAAGTGAGTGGCTTTCAGAATGTCACCAGAACTATTGTCCCTACTGGAAGATTTCCCCTCTATTCCTGATCTGGTAGCACCCCAAGTTTGGGGGTTTTCGTTGACTTTCACTCCCGATGATAGCTGAAAATGGAAGAAATGAAATCTCTCTAACGGAGGTATGGACAACAATAAAAACCTGAGAGGTTTTCTAACCCCTCTCCATTCTAAACAAAACAAAATTATTTTAGTTAAACATTGAGGTGCAGTAGTAAACATATCATCATGCAAATTCTGCATACTGTAAGTGTACAAACAAACAGATGACAATAAATTGGGTTGTATAATTGGAACTGATGTTAATGAAGAATTCTGGGCAAAATTATTATTTTTCCCTTCAGTGGGGCTGTGCCTACACTGCATGGGTTAAATGCTCATTTTTGTCTAGGGGTACAGAAAGCAGAGATATTCTTACCCAATCCGCCAATCCTCTGAGTGCAAGACCGGTCCCCGTCGTTCCTTGCCCCCTACATGTTAGCAGTCTTGTGAATGGGCTGTTCCTGACGTCATCACACCCATAGACCAGCCCTGGATGTGAGGATGGCATGAACAGTCCACCACTGGATGTGGGGGAGCATGGTTTTCCAAAGGATTGGAGGAATGGGTAAGTACAGCTTTTCCCTGAGCACGGAAAATAATTAGGAATCCTAAATGTCGCTGTTACCAGAATAGGATTAGAAAGGATATTTTCTATCTGGGACACCTGTTCCAATGACAACTGTCTAGGAGGAGAGAGATTTTATCTCACTTCCTGTTGTGTTCCTGGAACAGGAAGTTAAGAGAAATTTCTCATTGGTACATAAAAAAAAAAAAAAAAAAGCAGGGGCTAGAACAATCCCTTAAAGTACACTATACAGTTGTGCTTAAATGTTTGCATACCCCAGCAGATATTGTGAATATAACTGATCGTGCCAAAAAACTGACTTTTATTTCAGGATAGTGATCATATGAAGCCGTTTATTATCACATAGTTGTTTGGCTCCTTTTTAAAATCATAATTATAACAGAAATTATTCAAATGGCTCTGATCAAAGGTTTACATTCCCTGGAATGTTTGGCCCTGATACAGACACACAAGGTGACACACACAGGTTAAAATGGCAGTTAAAGGTTAATTTCCCACATCTGTGGCTTTTTAAATTGCAATTAGTCTGTATATAAATAGTCAATGCGTTTTGTTAGCTTTCACATGGATGCACTGGGCAGGCTAGATACTGAGCCATGAGGAGCAGAGAAGAACTGTCAAAAGACCCGCGTAACAAGGTAATAGAACTTTATAAAGATGGAAAAGGATATAGAAAGATATCCAAAGCCTTGAATATGACAGTCAGTACTGTTCAATCACTTAAGAAGTTGAGCAACTGTTAAAAAAAAAAAAAAAAAAAAAGTGGAAAATTCTGGGATCTCTTGATGCCAAGGTCACAAAGAGCAAGAAAAATAGCAGCCGCAACTACCAGAAGAATTGTTCAGGATACAAAGAAAAACCCACAGGTAACCTCGAGAAAAACAGGCTGCTCTGGAAAAAGACGGTGTGGTTGTTTCTAGGAACACAATATGATGATACTTGAACAAAAATGAGCTGCATGGCCAGTTTGCCAGAAAGAAGCCTTTACTGTGCTAATACCACAAAAAATCCCGGATACAACAGGCCCGACAACAGCTTGACACGCCTCAGAGCTTCTGACACATTGTAATCTGGAGTGACGAGCCGAAAATAGAGCTTTTTGGTCACAACCATAAACACTATGTTTGAAGGGGGATCAACAGCGAGAAGAATACCATCCTGACTGTGAAGCATGGTGATTGCTCACTGATGTTTTCAGGAGGGGGGAGGGGTGAGCTCTAAAGGCATGGGAAATCTTGTGAAAAATTATGGCAAGATGAATGGAACATGTTATCAGAAAGTACTGGCAGACAATTTGCATTTTTCTGCACAAAAGCTACACATGGGACACTCTTGGGCTTTCCAGCACGACAATGACTCTAAGCACGCCAACAACAGAAAGAAGGTGAAGGTTCTGTAGTGGCCATCAGTCTCCTGACCTTATTATCATCGAGCCACTATGGGGAGATCTCCAACTTGCAGTTCATGCAAGATGACCAAAGACTTTGCATGACCCGGAGGCATTTTGCCAAGTCGAATGAGCAGCTATACAGTTGTGTTCAAAATAATAGCAGTCAGACATCACTAACCTGATCAATCACTGTTTTTGGTAGAAATGATATTTCTACATGGCAAATAATTTACTAGCAGGTGTAGTAGAGTAATAGAAATCCAACAGACCCAACAGTCATGACATGCATGCTGCTGATTCTGTGTCATTGAATCACTCATTGAAAGGGGCATGTTCAAAATAATAGCAGTGTGGAGTTCTATTAGTGAGGTCATTCATTGTTTGAAAAACAGGTGGCAATTATTGCCCTTATTTAAGGAAGGAAGGCAGCAAATGTTGTGCATGCTGGTTACAGTGCATTTCTCTTTGAAATGCTGAGGAAAATGGGTCATTCCAGACATTGTTCAGAAGAACAGCGTACCTTGATTAAAAAGTTGGAGAGGGGAAAACATATAAAGAAGTGCAGAAAATGATAGGCTGCTCAGCTAAAATGATCGCAAATGCTTTAAAATGGCAACCAAACCTGTGAGGACTGTTACAATTAGAAGACGCCTATGTGAAGCCAAGCTATCTGTAAGAAGCCCCCGCAAAGTCCCACTGTTGGAAAAAAGATGTGCTGAAGGGGTTACAATTTGCCAAAGAGCACATTGACTGGACTAAAGAGAAATGGCGCAACATTTTGTGGACTGATGAAAGTAAGATTGTTCTTTTTGGGTCTAGTGGCCGGAGACAGTTTGTCAGACGACCCCCAAACACTGAATTCAAGCCACAGTACACTGTGAAGACAGTGAAGCATGGTGGTGCAAGCATCATGATATGGGGATGTTTCTCATACTACGGTGTTGGGCCTATTTATCGCATACCAGGGATCATGGATCAGTTTGAATACATCAGAATACTTGAAGAGGTCATGCTGCCTTATGCTGAAGAGGAAATGCCCTTGAAATGGGTGTTCCAACAAGACAACAACCCCAAACACAGCAGTAAACGTGCAACATCTTGGTTCCAGAGCAACAAGATTGACGTTGTGGAGTGGCCAGCCCAATCCCCGGATCTTAATCCAATAGAAAACTTGTGGGGTGACATCAAAAATGCAGTTTCTGAGGCAAAACCAAGAAATAGAGAACTGTGGAATGTGGTCCAATCATCCTGGGCTGGAATACCTGATCACAGGGGCCAGAAGTTGGGTGACTCCATGCAACACAGATGTACAGCAGTTCTCAGAAACAGTGCGACTACAACCAAATATTCATGAAGTCATTCAAAGGAAAGCAAAATCTTCAAACATTTTTCAGTTTATATAGTGAATGTTTGAGTTTGTAAAGAAGAATACAAACACTGCTATTTTTTTGAACAGTCTAATATTCACTTTTCCTCAATTGATTTAGAGCAGCGGTTCTCTCAACCTGGGGGTCGCGACCCCTTTGGGGGTCGAACGACCATTTCCCAGGGGTCGCCTAAGACCATCGGAAAACACATATTTCCGATGGTCTTAGGAACCGAGACACCGCTGCTGTCTCCGGCGATGTGTGGGCGGGATGATATGCTGCCCCTGTCACCGCCTCCTCGCCGCTGATTGGCCACCGGAACTGTAGCTCAGGAGAGGCACACAGGCGGCCAATCACCGGCGAGAAGGTGGAGCTTGGAGAGGAGGAGCCGAGCGGCAGCGAGCGGAGATCGAAGAAGATCGAGGGAGCTGCAGGAACGAGTGAAGAGAGAGGCCAGAGAAGGAAGACAGCTGACAGGTAAGTGCAAATTTTGCTGCTGCAGCCAGGTATGCAGGCTGTAGATGGGAGAGGGAGAGAGCGAGCCCAGGCTGGAGCAGGGGTCAGCAAGGTAAGTATCATTGGTGTCAGTGGAAGGGATAGTGCCCCATCATTTGTGTCACTAATACCAACGATGGGGCACTATTCCTCCCCCCACTGACGCCAACGATGGGGCGCTATTCCTCCCCCCCACTGACGCCAACGATGGGGCGCTATTCCTCCCCCCCACTGACGCCAACGATGGGGCGCTATTCCTCCCCCCCACTGACGCCAACGATGGGGCGCTATTCCTCCCCCCCACTGACGCCAACGATGGGGCGCTATTCCTCCCCCCCACTGACGCCAACGATGGGGCGCTATTCCTCCCCCCCACTGACGCCAACGATGGGGCGCTATTCCTCCCCCCCACTGACGCCAACGATGGGGCGCTATTCCTCCCCCCCACTGACGCCAACGATGGGGCGCTATTCCTCCCCCCCACTGACGCCAACGATGGGGCGCTATTCCTCCCCCCCACTGACGCCAACGATGGGGCGCTATTCCTCCCCCCCACTGACGCCAACGATGGGGCGCTATTCCTCCCCCCCACTGACGCCAACGATGGGGCGCTATTCCTCCCCCCCACTGACGCCAACGATGGGGCGCTATTCCTCCCCCCCCCCACTGACGCCAACGATGGGGCGCTATTCCTCCCCCCCACTGACGCCAACGATGGGGCGCTATTCCTCCCCCCCCACTGACGCCAACGATGGGGCGCTATTCCTCCCCCCCCCACTGACGCCAACGATGGGGCGCTATTCCTCCCCCCCACTGACGCCAACGATGGGGCGCTATTCCTCCCCCCCACTGACGCCAACGATGGGGCGCTATTCTCCCCCCCCACTGACGCCAACGATGGGGCGCTATTCCCCCCCACTGACGCCAACGATGGGGCGCTATTCCTCCCCCCCACTGACGCCAACGATGGGGCGCTATTCCTCCCCCCCACTGACGCCAACGATGGGGCGCTATTCCTCCCCCCCACTGACGCCAACGATGGGGCGCTATTCCTCCCCCCCACTGACGCCAACGATGGGGCGCTATTCCTCCCCCCCACTGACGCCAACGATGGGGCGCTATTCCTCCCCCCCGCCACTGACGCCAACGATGGGGCGCTATTCCTCCCCCCCACTGACGCCAACGATGGGGCGCTATTCCTCCCCCCCCCCCACTGACGCCAACGATGGGGCGCTATTCCTCCCCCCCACTGACGCCAACGATGGGGCGCTATTCCCTCCCCCCCCCACTGACGCCAACGATGGGGCGCTATTCCTCCCCCCCACTGACGCCAACGATGGGGCGCTATTCCTCCCCCCCACTGACGCCAACGATGGGGCGCTATTCCTCCCCCCACTGACGCCAACGATGGGGCGCTATTCCTCCCCCCCACTGACGCCAACGATGGGGCGCTATTCCTCCCCCCCACTGACGCCAACGATGGGGCGCTATTCCTCCCCCCCCACTGACGCCAACGATGGGGCGCTATTCCTCCCCCCCTGACGCCAACTGGGGCGCTATTCCTCCCCCCCACTGACGCCAACGATGGGGCGCTATTCCTCCCCCCACTGACGCCAACGATGGGGCGCTATTCCTCCCCCCCACTGACGCCAACGATGGGGCGCTATTCCTCCCCCCCACTGACGCCAACGATGGGGCGCTATTCCTCCCCCCACTGACGCCAACGATGGGGCGCCCCCCCCACTGACGCCAACGATGGGGCGCTATTCCTCCCCCCCACTGACGCCAACGATGGGGCGCTATTCCTCCCCCCACTGACGCCAACGATGGGGCGCTATTCCTCCCCCCCACTGACGCCAACGATGGGGCGCTATTCCTCCCCCCCCACTGACGCCAACGATGGGGCGCTATTCCTCCCCCCCCCACTGACGCCAACGATGGGGCGCTATTCCTCCCCCCCCCACTGACGCCAACGATGGGGCGCTATTCCTCCCCCCCCTGACGCCAACGATGGGGCGCTATTCCTCCCCCCCCCACTGACGCCAACGATGGGGCGCTATTCCTCCCCCCCCACTGACGCCAACGATGGGGCGCTATTCCTCCCCCCCACTGACGCCAACGATGGGGCGCTATTCCTCCCCCCCCACTGACGCCAACGATGGGGCGCTATTCCTCCCCCCCCCCACTGACGCCAACGATGGGGCGCTATTCCTCCCCCCCCCACTGACGCCAACGATGGGGCGCTATTCCTCCCCCCCCCACTGACGCCAACGATGGGGCGCTATTCCTCCCCCCCACTGACGCCAACGATGGGGCGCTATTCCTCCCCCCCACTGACGCCAACGATGGGGCGCTATTCCTCCCCCCCACTGACGCCAACGATGGGGCGCTATTCCTCCCCCCCACTGACGCCAACGATGGGGCGCTATTCCTCCCCCCCCCACTGACGCCAACGATGGGGCGCTATTCCTCCCCCCCACTGACGCCAACGATGGGGCGCTATTCCTCCCCCCCACTGACGCCAACGATGGGGCGCTATTCCTCCCCCCACTGACGCGCAACGATGGGGCGCTATTCCTCCCCCCCACTGACGAACGGGGGGCGCTATTCCTCCCCCCCACTGACGCCAACGATGGGGCGCTATTCCTCCCCCCCACTGACGCCAACGATGGGGCGCTATTCCTCCCCCCCACTGACAACGCCAACGCCAACGATGGGGCGCTATTCCTCCCCCCCACTGACGCCAACGATGGGGCGCTATTCCTCCCCCCCACTGACGCCAACGATGGGGCGCTATTCCTCCCCCCCACTGACGCCAACGATGGGGCGCTATTCCTCCCCCCCACTGACGCCAACGATGGGGCGCTATTCCTCCCCCCCCACTGACGCCAACGATGGGGCGCTATTCCTCCCCCCCACTGACGCCAACGATGGGGCGCTATTCCTCCCCCCCACTGACGCCAACGATGGGGCGCTATTCCTCCCCCCCCCCTGACGCCAACGATGGGGCGCTATTCCTCCCCCCCACTGACGCCAACGATGGGGCGCTATTCCTCCCCCCCACTGACGCCAACGATGGGGCGCTATTCCTCCCCCCCACTGACGCCAACGATGGGGCGCTATTCCTCCCCCCCACTGACGCCAACGATGGGGCGCTATTCCTCCCCCCCACTGACGCCAACGATGGGGCGCTATTCCTCCCCCCCCCACTGACGCCAACGATGGGGCGCTATTCCCCCCCCCCACTGACGCCAACGATGGGGCGCTATTCCTCCCCCCCCACTGACGCCAACGATGGGGCGCTATTCCTCCCCCCCCACTGACGCCAACGATGGGGCGCTATTCCCCCCCCCCACTGACGCCAACGATGGGGCGCTATTCCCCCCCCCCTGACGCCAACGATGGGGCGCTACGACGCCAACGATGGGGCGCTATTCCCCCCCCCCCAACGACTGACGCCAACGATGGGGCGCTATTCCCCCCCCCCCCACTGACGCCAACGATGGGGCGCTATTCCCCCCCCCCACTGACGCCAACGATGGGGCGCTATTCCCCCCCCCCACTGACGCCAACGATGGGGCGCTATTCCCCCCCCCCCACTGACGCCAACGATGGGGCGCTATTCCCCCCCCCACTGACGCCAACGATGGGGCGCTATTCCCCCCCCCCACTGACGCCAACGATGGGGCGCTATTCCCCCCCCCCCACTGACGCCAACGATGGGGCGCTATTCCCCCCCCCCACTGACGCCAACGATGGGGCGCTATTCCCCCCCCCCCACTGACGCCAACGATGGGGCGCTATTCCCCCCCCCCCACTGACGCCAACGATGGGGCGCTATTCCCCCCCCCACTGACGCCAACGATGGGGCGCTATTCGCTATTCCCCCCCCCCCACTGACGCCAACGATGGGGCGCTATTCCCCCCCCCCACTGACGCCAACGATGGGGCGCTATTCCCCCCCCCCACTGACGCCAACGATGGGGCGCTATTCCTCCCCCCCCACTGACGCCAACGATGGGGCGCTATTCCTCCCCCCCCCACTGACGCCAACGATGGGGCGCTATTCCTCCCCCCCACTGACGCCAACGATGGGGCGCTATTCCTCCCCCCCCCACTGACGCCAACGATGGGGCGCTATTCCTCCCCCCCCACTGACGCCAACGATGGGGCGCTATTCCTCCCCCCCACTGACGCCAACGATGGGGCGCTATTCCTCCCCCCCACTGACGCCAACGATGGGGCGCTATTCCCCCCCCCCTGACGCCAACGATGGGGCGCTATTCCTCCCCCCCACTGACGCCAACGATGGGGCGCTATTCCTCCCCCCCACTGACGCCAACGATGGGGCGCTATTCCTCCCCCCCCACTGACGCCAACGATGGGGCGCTATTCCTCCCCCCCACTGACGCCAACGATGGGGCGCTATTCCTCCCCCCCCACTGACGCCAACGATGGGGCGCTATTCCTCCCCCCCACTGACGCCAACGATGGGGCGCTATTCCTCCCCCCCCACTGACGCCAACGATGGGGCGCTATTCCTCCCCCCCCACTGACGCCAACGATGGGGCGCTATTCCTCCCCCCCACTGACGCCAACGACGATGGGCGCTATTCCTCCCCCCACTGACGCCAACGACGGGATTCCTCCCCCCCACTGACGCCAACGACGGGGCGCTATTCCTCCCCCCCACACTGACGCCAACGACGGGGCGCTATTCCTCCCCCCCACTGCAAAATTACAGTTATGAAGTAGCAACGAAAATAATTTTATGGTTGGGGGTCACCACAACATGAGGAACTGTATTAAGGGGTCGCGGCATTAGAAAGGTTGAGAACCACTGTTTTAGAGGAACACCACAAATTTGATCTATTTTTCTTCATGTTTTGATTTGGAATAGAATGTGTAGTGTTCCCAATGCATTTGTGTGTATGGAAATAAAAACCATTAGAAGGATTTTGAGCTTTATTCACTTTTTTCAACACACGGCTATTATTTTGAACACAACTGTACCTCTGCAAGATTTTGGGGTCTCATAGACAAGTATTACAAAAGATTGCATGCTTTCATTGATAAAGGGGGCAATACACAGGATTAAGAACTGAGGGTATGCAGACTTTTGAACAGGTCACATTTAATTTGTTTACTTGTTGCCATGTTTTGTTTTATGATTGTACTATTCTGTTATAATCTACAGTTGAATATGAATTTCATACTAAATAAAAATTTGTTTTGCCTGCTTACTCATGTTTTCTTTAAAAATGGTATGTACTGTATACCACCAATTCTCCAAGGGGATGCAA